AAGAAGCAATAGAAAATAAAATAATTAAATGCTGTGTATTGAAAAATAATGAATTACATTTAAAAACAAATGATAATTATTATTATCAAATTCAAGGTGCATTACATATTTCACGAAGAGATTATTGTTATTTTTGTATTTGGACTCCAAAAGGTAAATATTTCTAGTGTCTACAAACATCTTTTATTCATTAAATCAATAATTATTTTCTAAATAATAGGTATTTTATTCGAAAAAATATTGAGAGATGATAATTTTTGGGCCACTTCTATGGAGCCCAAATTATCATCGTTCTATGTGAATAATATGGTTTTGGAATTAATTGATTCTAGATTTTAACGTGGATTTCCAATCAGAGATGGTTTTTAAGACAACTTTTTAAATTATTTGTATACAAAGTTGATGTACCTAATAATGATTATGAAATAATAAAGTAATTGACGTATTATCTAGTAATGTGCATTTAATACTTTTTTCTGATGTGTTTTAATATTTAAATATATAATTAGTATTACATTGAAATATCATTATAGCCATTTATAAGTGTACGGTGTACCTTACCTGTCGGGTAAATTAAATTCACGGAGATAAAATATGTAAATAACACATTTTAACATTTATTTTGATTATTATCATCGTCGTTCTGAGAATACCCGCATATTGCAGCCGATAGGTTGACGCCAGTGGAACGACAACGCGGTAATGGCACTGATAATAGATTACACACACTAATGTTCATTAACTACTCACACAATGACACCGTTCAAAAATGCATGTAATAAGAACTGCCTAAATATTACTCCTTAAAATATGCTATGCTCCAACCCCCTTAAACGATGGATTTCTAAAAAAATTCGTTAAATCCATGAAATATGCAAATAAATGTTCTTAAATCCAAAATATGCGAATTTTTACAAAAAATAACAAAATATGCAAAACTATGCAAAAAAAATTTGTATATATGAAATATACATACTATGAAGTATGAATCGAATTTGTATAGAATCAGAACTTCAATATTCACTTTCTAGGCAAATATGCAAATGCATAAAGTTCCGAGCCTTGCTGATAAGTGTGACTGAGTATGAAGTAGGTATCTTAAATTAAAACATATATCTATTTTTCGTTAAAAATTTTAATATTTACCTTCCATAGTATTAAGGTTGATTAATTCTACATTCATTGTCTGGTTATAGTCAGTTTGTAAGTGGCTTATGAGTAATTTAAAAGTTTTTAGTTTTGTACTACAATTATCATATTGGCATATAATATTTGTATGCAGTTTAGGGCGATTCATGTGGAGACCAATGTATTTAGCTAGTTTTTTTTTTAAAATTAAACATTTCATTGCAGTAGTTACATTTGTAACATACTTTGTCTATAACCTGTGGTGAAAAAGTAGTAATCAATTTTCAGTACTTATGATGTTTTTTTTTTTTTGTGTGTAAATGACAAGATAAAAATTATTAACTAAATGTATTAAATACTTCAGATAAAATATCAATATGTTTCTTCTTCTTATGCTTATTTAAATTAGACATTAAATAATAAATCTTTTTTGCACATTTCACATTTCATGGACATTTTAAAAACAACTTTTTGTTACAATAAAACAATTTCAACTTTCAACAGTCAAGGCAGATTCATAAACAACAAACACACTATGATGAAAACAGATTTTGGCATTTCCAATACCAAAATGTATGTATAAATAACTGCAGATATCAGATACTAATACATTTTATATTTTATTACCTATCTATTGACATTTTGTAGTATCATATACTTATCTTATTGTATCCTAATGCTTAGTATTAACCTTGTAAAAACATTTAAGAATACATTTAATTTAATTTTTTAAATGGTTTGTGTATTTTAAAGTGCATCATTACGATTTATACAATTAACAATAAAGAATTGTAAAATATGTTTGTGCTATTATTTATTAAATCATAATAGTGATCCACAACAAGTTGAATACAATTGTTCAACATGTCAACCATAAGGCAATGTACAACTATGAACAAGTCCAATTTATTGAAATGATATTTGGTAATGAAATTATAATATATTATAGAATAATAATGAAATTTTTATTTTTATTTAGACCATAAAAAAAAGTATGCTATTATTCAAACATTACATTAAAAAAAACACGGAACTACAATATTTACATTTTATTTTGAATTTGAGCTACTGATTGCAATATTAGTTAACATATTGTATACACATGACAGAATATTTAATATTTCAAATATTGCGAGGGAAATATAGACCAATAAGAATAGTTACCTTCACGACTATGAATTCATTGATAAGAAATTATGTTGTCAAAATGCCAAGTCCTGACGCATGCGCGGTAAGCACTTAGAACGTTGGGATTTGTCTCGGCGCAGATCCAATCGTATATAAACCATAGATAATATATACATGGATAGGACATCCCTATACCAATTGTACAAGGCATACTGTGAGCGAAGAGGAAAGGTTTATACCTTATAAAGGTTTTAAAAAAAGGTAACTAATCTATTTATACAAAATAGCATAAACTTAATGTAGTTTAGTATTCATGCTCATTTTTAATTTGTATTTTTCTCAAAATGTGTGCATTTGAAAGTGTTTAAAAAATGTTCACTATTTTATTTTGTAGTATATTTATGAATTGCTTTTTGATATAAATTAAATGCCTTTTTTTACATTTTAAATGCTTTTTTTATTGATTATATTGCCTTCAAATCCGAACCCTAGTTATTACATATAAACATATTATACCAAAACATTATTTTATACTTATATAATTAACTAATATTATACTATTTACACTATTGTTTTCGTTATCATTTCTGGTTGATACCATACCTAAATTATCTATAACCACTTTGGTAACTAATATGCTCTTCGATCACAGTAGAATCACGGTATATCCCATCCATGTATATATTATCTATGATATAAACTGACTGAGTTAACTTATCAATGATTTCCAACATACAAACACAAATAATATTGTTATCTTTATTTTATTGAAGTCAAGTTTTTTTAGATTCATTGTAGTCTCAATGAGTAAGTAAGCTGTTCTCCTGAGACACGATTTTAAACATTTTGATTCATATTGATAACGGTCTATATCATGGCTAAATACACTGGTATGTTCTTAACTTCGTTCTGCGCATGTATGCTACGTCACTCTGTCCATATTATGATTTATGAGAAGAATCCACGCCAAAATTTAAATTAATATAATATTATAGTAGGTTCACATGAGTACATGACGATGATTGTCATATAGTAATAATATTTCTAGGAAAATTTTCTCATTAATATTTTAACCTAATATGTATATATTTATAATTTATTTATTATATTAATTACTTAAGTATTTAATATAATGTGATTTTTGTAAAAAACGTTATCTTATTGTGTATAATATAAATTATTACAATTTTGTTGGCTTAACTAGATTTCCCATTGATTTATACTCTGTCCAACTGCAACTAAGTTCATTGTTAGTAAGAGGTGTTGCAATTTCTCCTAATTGTGGATATTTTCCAATGAATCTTTTTGCCACATAACCAACAACATATTCAAATGCTTCATCATCAACAGATTTTTCCTTGGCCTAACACAATAATTATAATAGGTAGTAGATATATGATGATGTATTATTGTGATATATAATGTTGTAAAATGCTTATAATTACTTGCAGTTCAAAATCTAGTAAAATATTGAATTGATCTTTAGGTATCTCAACACTACAACTACCAAAGTCTGAGTCTATCATTGCCAACTCTAAACTGCTGTTATTTTGAATATCTCTTGAGCCATTATGTATTTTTGATTTTTTAATCGTTATTCCAGTTAAACACTCTGTATCAACTATACATTCTTCAGATTCATCTTCTGTGTTCCGGTTTTCAGAGAAAACAAAATTTGAATGTTTACCCAATACATACCTTTTAAGCTATTATACAGTGAAACTTCCCTTAACGGACACCTCCAAATAGCGGACTTTTTTTCGGGGACGGGGACATTTTCACTGTTTATGTATAAGAAAACCTCTAAATATAGGACACTCTAAAGAACGGACACTTCTATGACACTGATATTAATAATTTTTATCTTAAATTAAGAATTATTTTGGATTATCTGAATAAAAACCTCAATTATTAAGTTATCTTATGTGTACATTATTAAACTGTATATGAAAATCTTATCTTTTCCGTTCAGTCACTTTATCGTGTCAATGAAATATTGTAACTAATGCATTGTCCTATGTGCGTTTACTTGTGTTTATGATGCCAATATACGAACACTTTGGCATTGCTAGACGTAAAATGCATACGTAAATATATTTCTTCTATCGAGATACAGAATAGTTCATTGTACTCAAGCACAGTCCAATTAAAAAATGCCTTAACACACGAAATAATTACGCCTGCAATTAGTAAACAAACTAAAGTAACAGATTTTTTTTCAGAAATGTTGGGTAGTTTTTATTTTTATCGTGTATTTAATTAATGTAAAAATAATATAAAATAAAATTATTGAATTTATTTATTTATTGAAAAAAATGTTTTCCTCTAAATAGCGGGCACCTCTAAATAGCGGACAAAATGTCGGCGATCGAGAGTGTCCGCTATTCAGAGGTTTCACTGTATAATATTATGCTAAATGATTTTTACTGGTCTTGAATGGCATATGTAATGTATTTATTTTTATTTTTTACTTTTTAACAAAATGATTTCTTGCTAATTTAATTAGGTGAGGCACATCTGCGAAAACATGAATCTTTTTGTTTAAAGAAGAGGGATGTTGAAATACAGAATTGTCAATTGTTATTTGAAGATTTTTCCAAAGTCCTTGATTAGAAGTACCCATTTCACTAACAACAGCAACAAACATCAAACTGACATGTAGTTAAGGTCATTATTATTTCAAATAGCAATTCTTTAGTCATGTGCGTATCATTTGCATAAAATACTGGTTGCTTCCATTGACCAATTACACCTGAAACGTTAAGAAAGTTCAAACATAAGAAGTTGTGGCTGTAAATCTGTAATGGTATTACATACCTCTAGCAACAACAGTCTGAACCGATTGATGGGGACCTATAATTTTCTGAGATGATTTATCATAACAGATTTTCTTTGACAAGTATGTTTCATCAAATGATATAACAGTTATTCTCTCTTCCGCAGACATAGATTCACCTAATAATCAATTTTTTTTATTAATATTTTAATTATTAACTAATTATCAACTACTAGCATTACCTTTACATTTCATTATATGTAAAATACTATGTAGTATATCAGATTTCAAATCAAATTTAGCAGCCCATTTACGTAAAGTTGAAAGTCCTGAAAAAAAATTATTTTTATACTGGTTAATTTAAAATAACTTTATAAATTATATTGATTGTTAGAGTTTACATATTTTTTATTTAATTTATATACCTGGTAGAGGGTATTGCAATTTTTCTCTTATATATCTATATGCTTTTGGAGATTAGCATCGTAGAGTAATAGCTAATGCAATATCTGTTTCTGACCACTTTTTGTTTTGGACGCAAAATTAAACTGATTTGTGGGGAAGTAAAATGACCAGACAGTTTTTCATGAAATTTTCGTTCGAATTTTTCCTCAATCATTTGATTTGTTGGACTTATTTTTATAACTTATTTTTATAAATTTATTGTAGTTTGCATTTCTACAATTTTTTTTTATACTTTTCGATATCATCATGATAACTCAACAACACATTTCTGTAATAAAATCTAGTACATTTACCAATGCTAAAAAATAAAAACTATGGCTTTCATTTTTATATTTGAAACTGTCACTTTGTTCTGTGAATTATTTCCATTGAACAGTGATCTTTTACATGTATTATTTTTCTTATTTATGTCTGATTCTTAAATTCTTTAAGCTAAACAATATATGTGTTATTTATTTATATTTATATATATATATATTATTATAATATTATTAAATATATATGTTACGGTAAATGAAGTTATATCGGAAATTAACGTTATTCGTCGGTTATTTACGTTATTTACCAACGAATGTGGGAATTATTGTTATTTTTTAGTGAATAACGTTAATAACCGTATGATTTGGGAAATGTCAATTTTATTTTAAAATAATGGCCAACGAGCAATGATAAAGTGATCGCGTATTTACCACTTATTTAAAAAAATAGCTATCGATATTCAAACTGTTCGCACAACTTTCAACGAAAAAATGAAAAATATTCTTACGAGCAAACGAGATGATAATAACTCATTTTTGTCAACTAAAGACTACAATGATGTTATTGAACAAGTTAAAAAATCAAAAATGTGTTTAAAAACTGTCGGTGAAGCTAAAACAATGAAGGACTACAATGTGATAAAATTAGCAGGTGATAGACAGTTGACACTGAGGGAAGCAGCTAGTAATAGCATAGAACAATATAGAAGCGAAACTCGATCAGCTGATGGTAGTTTTGTTTCCCTATAATCTGAAGTCTGAACCTCCGAAAAACATGGAAACGTTTCCCTTATCAACATGATGTTAGACCCAAAGTCACCCGTATTATCAAAACGTTTCCGCCACATAGGCGGGGTATGCTGTGCGGGGTTGGCTTGTTTCCCGTAGGCCGTAACCACGTTTTGTGTGCTATCGTTTACTTTTGCAAATTTTGCTTACACTGGTCCCCAGTTTTTTATTCAACAATTATTAGAAAATACGATTTTTGTTTACATTTTCACTTTTAAAATGGTTATAAAGTGTCTAGTGTGTTCAAATAAGTATGGACCATTGTCAAGTGTTACATTTCATAGATTTCCAAAGGATAGCGAAAGGTAAATTTAATTAATTAAATATTCATAATGTATTAATCTAACAATGTTGTAACATATAATTTTATAATGTTTTAGATTTTATAAGTGGGTTAAAATCTGCCGCCGTCCTGATCTATTAAATGAGGGTCCATCCGTTTGCTATAAAAAATTTAAATTATGTTCAGAGCACTTTCTGAAAACAGATTTTATTTATTGTAGGTTGAGTAGTGTTGCTGTGCCTTCAGTATTTAAATGGTCTGATGTAGAATGTTCAGATGTTATTACTGATGAGTCTATTCCTAGTACTTCAGGAATAATGGCTGATTCTGTTGACAAAAGTGAGTCTCTAGGTGTAGAATTGAAACAAACCAGAAGTTCAGACATTATTACTGAGGAGTCCATTCCTAGTACTTCAGGAATAATGGCTGATTCTGTTGACAATAGAGGGTCTCTATCGGCTATCAATTGGTCGAACATATCTTGTTCAACTCCTAAAAGTAAATATACCTATCTATATAATAAGTAAGTAAAATTATAATAATGTTGTATTTTTTTTGTAGCCAGCTCTGTGTCGAGATCATTGTCATATTCCTCAGGCAATAGTTCCACAGCCACTTCTGATTCTCAAACTCAAACACATCAGAGTCTGTCAAGGAACACACCGCGAAAGGATAAACTGAACAAACTGCTAAGTATTCAGAAAAATAAATTTAATGATCTTCATAAAAAATATCTTACACTAAAAAAGCATTGTTCTGACGAACAAAAAAAATCTTCAACATTAGAGTTTTTTCATTTAATGTGTGATAATTTTCTAAATAAAGGTTTTGCCAATTTCGTTAAAGTCCAGTCCAAACTAACATTGCAAGATCCCCGTGGACATAGGTTTTCATATGAGACAAAACAATTTGCGCTCATGGTACATTTTATGGGCCCTAAAGTGTATAGATTTCTTCGGAAATCCTGGAGTTTGCCTTCTGTTAGAACTTTACAAAAAACTACAGAAAATTGGGAAATTAATCCTGGTTTGAATGACTTTTTATTTAAAGTTCTAGCAGTGAAAGCAAACTCCATGACAGTGAAGGCTAAAGAATGTGTCTTGTGTGTAGATGAAATGTCTCTTAAGTCTTTTCTTTACTTTGATTTCAAAAAAGATGAAATAATAGGTTTTCACAATACAGGATTCATTAAGTCTTGCGATGTTACTAAATCAGTTATGGTCATTATGATCAGTGGTTTGCATAGTTCTTGGAAACAACCTATAGGCTATTTTTTTGTCGCTACTACTTGTACTGGATATGATCTGCAAAATATAATCTTCCAAACTATTCAAAAATTGTCCAATATTTCTTTTAATGTAGTAGTCATGATTTCTGATTTAGGCTCAAATTTCAAGCGCTTTGCAGATCAACAAGGCATTACCCCCCAGACCCCTTACTTTAATGTTGGAGAAAAAGAAATTGTTTACATGTTTGATCCACCTCATTTATTAAAGGCAACTAGAAATAACTTTTTCAATTATCGTTTCAAATCTCAAAACAAAATAGCAGAAAAAATTCATCTTACAAATTTTTATGACTATGATAAAAGTAAACAACATCGATTGGCACCTAAATTAACTGATGTTCATTTAAATCCTAATAGTTTTCAAAAAATGAAAGTCAAATTTGCCTCTCAAGTTTTTAGTCATACAGTGGTTGCAGGAATGACTACCCTAGTTTCTTGTAATGAATTACCGCATAGTACATTCGATACAATTGATTTCATAGATTCCATGGATAAGCTGTTTGATATATTTAATTCTCGTCCCATTTCTACCGAAGTTTCTAATCATGAGGGATCAAAACGTTTTTCATTACCATTTTCAAACTCTTCTTATCAGACAGATTTTTTAAATTTAATGTTTAATTATTTTGAAAATTTAGAAATTCAAAAATTTTATGCCGAAAAAAATGAGTGGGTAAATATAGCTAGACACTATAATATAAAATTTATTAATGGCTGGTTAATATCAATCGCTGGATTAAATCGTCTTTATCAAAATTTAACTAATAGCAGTGATTCTAAAATAGACCCAATATGTACTAATAGATTAAATCAAGACAAATTAGAAAATTTTTTTGGAACTGTAAGAATTCAAAATGGAAATTGCATAAATCCTACATGCATTCAGTTTAAAAGAACTTTTAAAAAACTTTTTTGTCTTGATTACTTTGAGCACTCTGAAGGTGCTAACTGTATTCAAGATTTAGATGATGTCTTACTCAGTCTTGAAAAAACTCCTACAAGTGAAATTAAAATACTTTTCCCCGAAAAAAATCCTATTCAAATTCCATTACCTATTGCAAACATTAATAATTACAAACAAATTAATTTACCTGAACAAAATGCTTTGACATACATTTGTGGTTACTTAATCGGGCAATGTTTAAAAGTGCATCAATGTACAACTTGTTTAAGTTTTGCACAAGCAACTACTTCTTTATCCAGTGAAACTTTTTACTCCCATTTTAAATCATATGAAGAAAATCCTTCTTTATTATTCGGTAATTTAATGATGCCCGATTCTACTTTTTATCAGTATATTTTTCAAATTAATCAAGTTTTTGATAGACATTTCATTTCATTAGCTCCTCAGCCCAACGTGGGTAAGACTCTTAAAGATTTAATTTTAAATACAATTTTTTTCTATCATCCGTGCGATAATTTTCCTAAAGACTTCTTAATTAACTTATTCTTAAGATTTCGAATATATAACTCATTAAATAGAACCAACAAAGAATTTCAAGCATTACGTACTGGTAAAAAAAACAGAAAAGTTCAAATTCTTTCAAATTTATAATTAATATTGAATTTAAAAAAAAAACCAGCTGTTGATATTAATTCATATTTGTTTTGACTATAATTTTTCAGTACAATAAGTCCTTTTCAGGACTAAACTATGAAAATAATAAAATTGATGTATTCTTTTATTATAATGATTCAGTTTGAGTGTATAACTTATAAGTTATAACCAACTTAATGTGTAACAAATTATTAGTGATTTCAGTATTTTTAGCCAAATACTTTTCACTAAACAGTCCTTTTCAGGACTAAACTATATTATGATCTTGTGAAAGTTAATAAAATTGATATATTCTTTTATTTCAGCGAGCCGTTCATAACGTTATAATGAAATTGTTGTATTCTTTTATTAAAATGATTCAGTTTGGATTATATAACTTACAACCAACTTATGTGTAATAAATTATTAGTGATTTCAGTATTTTTAACCAAATACTTTTCACTGAACAGTCCTTTTCAGGACTAACCTTGTGAAAATTAATGTATTATTTTAATGTAATATATTATTTATCATTTTTCTCTTGCAATTTTTGGTTTTATTTTCATTGAATAAATTAAATATATTCTTACAATATTTCCAATGTGTTTGTTCTTTATGCCTAGTATTTTATCCCAAATCCAATTACCTATTATCGCATATTCACATTAGTCATTAATTTAAGTATTATAATATTTTTTTCATTAGAGTTATTACTTACATTAAATTGAAATACATAAACATTAAAATGGTAAAATTAATAAGACTACATTTTTGTACAAAATGGTACAAAAAATATTGTTGTATGGTGATAACATTGATATGATATGTTTAATTGATAATGTATGCCACGCCCCCCCTGGAGACCGTGTTCAAGGCCATAATCGCCTGATTCGGCCAACGCACGGAGTTTCGTATCCCTGGTAATAGTTCGGTTGCGGGCCCTCAAGGGTACCAGCGTTGCCAATTCCAAGACTGGTTGTAGTAATAAACGTTGTGCCTGCCGCGGGGCTGAAAAATTATGCAATAGTAAATGTCACGGGAGTACAAATTGTAAAAACAAATAAAAAATAATAATGCATTTTTTCTATTTTTAAAAATACCTATTTTAAAATTGTAGTAGGTATTTGAGATTCACGAGCATATCTAGTCTATAACTATAATTAAAAGTGTATTTGGTAAATAACGTTAATAACCGGTGAATTACGTTAATTTCCATTTAACATCATTTACCGTAACATATATATATATTTATTTATGTTTATACTACTTATTCTATACTTACCTCAGTCTCAGTAAAATTATCCGGTCTTCCATAATTTTGTTAGTTGCTAGATTTTGCACCTCCATTTAAGTTTAATACTAAATTATTCTGAAGTAAATATAAAAATGAAACGTTACTAAAAATATATAACTAGAAAATGTTGTTACATTATTCTTGAATATCAGAAACCTCTTCTACATTCAATGGATTAATATCAGAAATAGAAAATCCCGGACCTTAATAATAATTTGTTGACCATTATAATTTGAAAGATCTCCAGGATAAACCTCTTGTACATTCCATGGACTCTTGTTTCTGGGACTAACCTTTTGATTCTGTACTATATGATGTTTAAAAAATGATCAAGAATATAGGCACAATTCAAGCTTGATTCAAGAAAATGTAAATTATAATAATTCCTTCATGCTTATTATTTATAAAACTATAAAAGCATCATGGATAAAAATATGTATTTCTGTATTTTATTTGTATTAGATTTTCAAATTTTCAAATTAAAAAATGACTATAGATAATTCAGACTCAAATATGATCCATGATTGCATGTGCATATATAGGTTGTAACGGGTTTACAATTACAACTCTTTTTATTAGTTTATTGTAAAATCGTACTTTTTATTTTTTATATTCACATATATTTACATAATTTTGTTAATACAATATTTTCTTTTATTGGTTCTGGTTGCTCTTCGAGCTATAATAAAATTATTCAATGGTTTACAGAAATGCACAGGCGTTAATACTGGTTAATACAGTATTCCAAATGCAACACAAACATACATAGATCCAACAAAGTAGTAGTGTATCGGCGTTAATACTGGTTAATACAGTATTCCAAATACACTAACTAACTAAGTATAGTTTTGTTAACTCACGGCTCGGTGGCTGGATTGTAGGTGATAGGGACAGTGACTCCTCTGCACGGCGGCTCCTCGGCTCGGTGGCTGGACTGTAGGTGATAGGGACAGTGACTCCTCTGCACGGCGGCTCCTCGGCTCGGCGGCTGGACTGTAGGTGATAGGGACAGTGACTCCTCTGCACGGCGGCTCCTCGGCTCGGCGGCTGGACTGTAGGTGATAGGGACAGTGACTCCTCTGCACGGCGGCTCCTCGGCTCGGCGGCTGGACTGTAGATGATGGGCTGCTGGTGTTGTCGACGACTTCAGTGGTACGGCGACTGTGGCAACCGTAGCGGCGCGGCGGCTCGATTGACTGTTGAGGTTACTCGCCCAGCGTCAGTAATACTTGTCTATGGCGTTAACACTGATCACAGTGTTCCAAGACAGCGGTATTACTGTACGTTGAAGATTTCGACTCAACAGTCGATCGGAAGGTGTCTGGTCTGGCTGCGGCCGGTGGTATTTCTGTAGTTTGCCACTAGCGGCGGCAGCGTGGTTTTCGTGATTCTTGATAGAAGTTTCAACGGTTTTGATTATAATAGATTACTATATTCTTGTAATATAATACGTAATGGTTGTTTTATTGTAAATTTAAGTTATTGTATTATATTTATGATTTATTGTTAACTTTAAATAGTAAAGTTGATGAAATACGTGACACGTATAAACAGTGCTCGGATGCAGCGCACTCTATGATCATTTTATTGAAGCTCGAGAGAGCTGTTCACGTTTTTGTTATGGATGACTCCGCCAGGAGCGGCGTATGTTATTAGCGTCGAACTAGTATTTCTTGTTACAAGGTATATATAATTTAAAATGATAAAATAAACTGAGGTACAATATTACAATCTTACAATTGGTTTTGTAGAAACAGCATTTGATTTTAATTTTTTCTGGCATTCTAGAGAATAATTAAGCTTTTCTTGAATCAACGGCTTCTTAGCATATTGAGATACATCGAAATGTAAAGAACATATTCTAGCTTTAGATTTGTGATTTCATTATGGTTATACTACACAATTACAATACACAAAGTAAATGTAGACAAATCTTAAGACTTTATGCAGATAAATCAGTAAAAATCTTATTCAACTTACCAGATTTGACATTTATTTTGTCTCATTGACAGAATTCTACCCAAACTTTACACAAATAAGCATATCTCCAAGGAAAACTGAAAAGTTTCGCCTTGGATATTTGCATAGAAGATCTACCACTTTTACAATTTTTTACTGAACACGAACGCATTTTAATAATTAGACAAGTAGATATGGTGCAAATAATACAATTATTATACTTAGGTTATGTTATATAGCAATAAATAAAAACAAACATATTAATTTCATAAGAATAATGGTTTATTTTTAATCAGATTTATAAATATACATTATACAAAAATAGACTGAATAATTGAGTGTAATTAAATCTGTGTGTAATATTTTTAGTTTATAATATATTACGATATCCAATAACGTTCCCACGTCAAAAGTTTTTTTTAAAGTGATATCCCCTATGGCCTAATCCACGAACCGTACAACGGCTACAAAAAAAAAATACTACTCTAAACGCACGAGCGCATGGGACGTGCCCGCCTCTTCCATCTCCGCTCGGGTTTGAATGACCCTCCTAGACCGAGGCTCATTCTCCCCCACATGCATCCAGTCACATCTATAACAAAACAAAATAATTATTATTATAATATTCGGAAAACAACAGAATGAAAATAAAATATACATACAACGAGCGATGTGTATATGGTTTCAACAACACAATTGGTATAACCTCCACACGCGAATTTATCAGCAAGCGTAAATGGTCTTGGACGTCAGATACATCTGACCGCCGAGACACTAACGTGTACAGGATGGCCAGCCTGTACACAGTAGGACGCATAAACGCTCCGAGTACGTCGGCGGAACATACTGTGCTGGATATGGATAGCTTCCTGTACGAATCTGGAGTATGAAAAAAATTTTTTTTGTGATTTTGCGATTTCGGTTTGTCGAACTTAAAATGTAGCTCGAAAGAAATATCCGCTAAAATTAAAAAATACTCTGGACTCATTAAATATTATTTTTTAAAATTAAAATGTGTTCATGGAGGAATTTATAAGAAAAGTTCTAACAACGAACAGCAACGATCCGCATCGTAAGTGTGTTTATTAATTATTAAATTATTTATAAATTATTTTAAATACGTAAGAACCATTATCTAGTACTATGAAGCAAGACTGTCCGGCGTTCATATATATAAGAGTAACCAGTGATGGTTCAAAATTAGAAATTGCACGCATGGATGAAAGCCATAACCATGCTATGTCTTCAATGTTATTTTCTAATCTAAGTAATTGAATTGATGTATATGGAAGCTAATAAGAAGTTAATTCAATCAAAAATCTATACCGAAACTGGAAAAAAAGTTACTCTTAAAGATTGTCAAATATAAATAGTACAGGTAGTTTTAAAAAAATTTAAGTTTTTGTTTTTGTTTAAAATGCTTAAATTTCTTATTTCATAGAAAACCTAAGAACAGACCTAAACATTTTGAGGAAACAATAGAAGAGATTAAAAATGAATATAATTGTACGATTGAATTACTAGTGCATAATGATGGGAGTTTATTGAGAATGTTCCTTCAAGATTCTAGAATAAAAATAGAATTTGAAAATTTTCTTGAGGTAAATTTACAATTAATATAATTATTACAATTTATATAATTAATTTTTATACTTCTTATATCTAGATGGTTTGTGCTGATGTAACATACAAATTAATAGATTTGAAAATCCCGTTGTATGTCCTGCTAGTTGAAAATGGTAACGGCCAGAGTGAAGTGGCTGCCCTTGGCCTATTAGTAAATGAAGAAAAGGAGATTATCACAGACAAAGGCATGAAGGAGCGGACTGTCCTAAAAAGTCTGTTTCCTGAATCGTACTTGGTAATATGTTTGTTTCGTACACTGCGGACATTCAATAGAGAAAAACGTGTGACGAATTGGGAATCACACCCAATCAACGAGATGTGTCTAAGCAAATTTTTGAAAATCTATGCTACTCTAAAAATGAAACAGAGTACATGCAGATATATACAGATTTTATTAACTCTGAATTAACTCCTCATCAAGTAGTAACCTATTTCAATAAATATTGGCACAATATCCGCGAATAATGGGGGGTAATTGGTGTAACGAGTGAGTCTGGGAACTTTTTAAACTCTACCAATCATAGACTAGAAAGTTTTAATTCAAAACTTAAATCAGTAATTCCAGTATATTCTAATCTGCCAGATTTTTTTTAAAAAACTTTTTATTATTTTAAAATGTATTCAGTCAGAACGGGATCACTGTGCATTGAAGGTTATTCAAAAAAGACCAACAAAAATGTTTCAAAACGTAGATGAAGAAAAATATTATAAACTTCCTACTCCATATGCATTTAATTTCATAAAAAAATTTATTTTGCCCAACAAAAGAAATTCTAAAAGATACAGCACTTGATTCATGTTCGTGTAGTTTTTACAAGTCTATGAGATTACCATGTAAGCATATCATCAATAAAAGTAGAGTAACAAACAACCCCATATTCGTTGAAAATCTGTGCGATGTAAGGTGGACGAGAAATTATTACATAAAAAGTCAGAAATTACTAAGTAATCCTCCTGAACGGACCAATTCAAACATAGAAATTGAAATTCAACATCCAAAGAAAAATAACAAAATGTTGACAGCACCTGAAAAGTACAGAAAAGCATCCATTCAGACAGCAAAATTGGCAGAACTTTTGTCTGAAGTTTCCCAATTCAGTTTTGAACGAAGGATATGTCAGCTACAGCAAATAGTTAATCTTTGGAGCAAAAACAAAGATTTTTTGATAGAAGAAATTGTTGAAACTGAGTGTAGTATGGATCAGGTCGTAGAAACTGAATGTGCTATTTCTGCAGGTAGTTAATTAAAATTTGATAAAAAATAAATTTATATTTAATTTTAATTTTATAATTGCATACCTTTAGTGAGTGAATGATGACGACACTGAAACTGTCGAAACTAAAATATGTAGTATGGATCAGAAAGGAACTATTATTCTATCAGATGTCAAACTACCAAAAAAAAAAAAAAAATGCCCCGGAAGACCAAAGGGAGATGCCCTAACATCAATAGGTCTTAAAAAATAAAACGAGCCATTAGTAAGCCTACTGCATTTGCGCAGAAACATTTTAAAATTAAAGAAAATATTATAATGGAATGGCTTACGGCAAAAAAAGTAGTCGATTTAGTTAGGAAAGACAAATATATCATAGAGGAGAAGGATATTGAATGCCGCCATGAAATTATTTGCAACAGTATTATGGAGGAAGGCGTTGATATCCATATCATAAGACCTTACTGCACCAAAGATGCATGGAAAGCCATATTGAATGTAATTAAAAATATATATATATATGACATGGATATGCTCTGTTTGTAACCATGACATTGGATCGGAGTGTGTTTTGTGTGATTCTTGCTTAGTATGGTTTGATGCTACTTGTGTTGGATTTTGGTATAAAATCAAAACGCACATGATCGTATTGGTTTTGTACGGGTTGTAAAGAAAATAAGAAATAAATAATAAATTAATCATATTATAATATTATCATGAATCCTCACTGTTTCTCAAATCCTCAAACTCAAATTACCTCAATTGTTAATTAAAATTATTTTTTTCATTAATAAAACTGTCTTAACTGTTTATGTTTTTTTATTTATTTACCTAACTATATGCAGTATGCACCATTTCAATGATTTAGAAGTTACAAGTAATAACAATGAAATGGTAGTCTGACAATAAAGGTATTGTGTTTTGGATGAGACATTTTGACGTATTGTTAATTGTTTATAAGTATACACCTAAGTATTTCAAAAACTTAAATTGTTCAGTAGTATATTTTATTAATTGATTCAATTCTTTTATTTAATATTTAGATAGGTTAGATATAGGGTGGATGTATGTAATATATTAATTCCACGTTGTAACTGCTATCAATTTATTCATTTGATTAATGGAATAGGATAGGCGATAGGTTGTAACGCGTAGAGTTTAGGTTCCCTAAGTTCTAGCATTGATTATAAATACTATAGATTGCTCACTGCGCGGTTTTTCGGCGGCGGCGTGGTAATAATCGAGTACCGCTGCACGGCGCTGCGGACGCTTGGCTAGTTAGATCGGATAACGTTGTAATCGCTAGTAGTCGCCTTCGTTAGAGGCCGCGGCGCGACGCACGCACGCTGCAGCGGCAGTGGCTCACATAGCACATGATAACATTTAACCTTATAATAATCATAGATAACTTATAAAATAGATGATTGACTCGGCCGAAAAAGTCGTTCCGCACATGCAGCGATCCTAACGACTGACTTCTGAAGTTCTGATCTACAGTATAGTTATTATAACTATACCTTTTTAATCGCTACTTTTTCTTATAAACCTTGGTTTTAACCCGCGGTTAGAGCTCCTGGGACCGATTTCTCTACTAACCGATAATTTTATACGGAGTCGAGGGGCTTTGATGTGATTTACTAATCACTTATATCACGAGTTGTTTCATAAAGTTACGAGTTTACGACTCACAATTTACAATACGCTAAATACCTAATGTCAGTTAAAAATACTAAAGTACTTACCTAGGTAAGGTTAACCTAAGAAAAAAAAAATATTTAAACGTGGGTCACCATCTTCTTAATATCTCTAATTTTGGTCCTAATAGATACCACTGACCTGGGTGGGTACCTTTGAAAATGGTGGTTGGGCAAGGAGCTTCCTCAGCCCGTCCGCGGTGGTGAGAATGGGATCCTCCGTGAGTACAAGCCGCCTGAGGATCATCTCCTCTTCTGGACTGTACTTGTTTTTGACGGGTGATGCCAAGCGGCATTGGCGGTTGAATTGGAACCCAACACTAGCCGTAGGCGACTGGGGGGCCGGAGGCTCTTCATTTACTACAAATAATAAAAATAAAATAATATTTAAAGGCAATACAAGAGGCTAGATTAAGTAAATTAAAATTTTACATATGGGTGAGCCGGTGGCCGCGTCAACGAACAGTTCCCTGACCAAGGGGTGCTTCGGAACCTCGGCCCCAACATCCATAGACCTGGTTGACGGAGGAGTACCAGCTTCGCTAACAATGGACTGATATAACTGTCCAGGTACCGCGACTCGCCAAATGCCAAAAAGCGTAGCATGAGCTCGGAGTCGTAGACACTAGCTAGTCACTAAAACAACAAAAACATAATTTATTAAATTAAACTTATCTAACAACAATAAGAATAAACTTACACTATTGTGGAAGTTGGAACTATGTAGCTGGTACACCATCTTCACCAATAGATCCAGTGTGTCCAACATCAAGGAATTGATGTAATACGGCCAATCCTTGGTCAAACACACTAGAAGTCCTTCTGTGAGACAAAATTCGGCCATTCGCGTACCATATGTGGGCATGAGTGACAAAACCTCACAACAGGTTTTGCCACTCACCACACACTCGAACCTCA